AGTTTAGAGGTGAATGGGAGTCTGGAGACAGGCCGGAAGTTGGACATGACTGAGGGGTCAAGGTTAGGTTTTTTCAGGAGGGGCTGGACAGCAGCATGTTTAAAAGTCTTTGGCACCACACCTGAGGATAAACTGCTATTCAGAATAGCGAGGATAAAAGGACCCAGGGTAGGAAAAACTTCCTTTAGCAGTCGAGGGGGGACCACATCAAAGGGGGAACCAGATGGTTTCATGCTGCACATTACCTGCTCCAGAGAGGACAGAGAGATGGGCTCAAAGTGGTCAAACACAGCCACACACTGAGAAGGGATGGACAGATCATGAGCTGGTGGAGAAATGAGTGCCCGGGTGTTTGCCACTTTTTCTAAAAAGAAATGGAGGAAGTTCTCACACAGCTCAGTTGAGGCTTCCAGAGGTGAAGGCTCACTGAGGTGTAGAACTGAGTTCAGGGTGGAGAAGAGAACTCGGGGGTTGTGGGAGTTGGAGACAATTAAATCAGAGAAGAATTTACATTTGGCAACTTTAACGGTTTTCTGATAGTGACGCCAACTCTCCCTTAACATTTGAAAAGACACCTGGAGCCTGTCCTTCCTCCACCTTCGTTCAGCTCTGCGACACTGCCGCCTAATGGCTCGAGTGACGTCATTCAGCCAAGGCTCTGATTTAAGTTTTGTTTTTCTGGTCTTAAGGGGAGCAACACGGTCCAGAACATTTAAACAGGCAGAGTTGAACTGAGAGGTTAGCTCCTCAGTGGTAAGAGACACCGAGAGCTGTTCGATCCTCTCAGAGTTAAAACCTTCATTAAAACGAGCAGCAGTGAAACGGTTAATGGAACGCGTACGTGCAGGAACGCACGTCTTAGCAGTATGACAAGGGGGGGTGAAGTCAAACAATACAGGCATGTGATCTGAAAAAACATTGTCACCAATTTTCAAATTAGAAACAGAGACATCGCGTGTTAAAACGAGGTCCAGCGTGTGACCATGTTCCTGGGTGGGGCCGCTCACCTGCTGAGCTAAGCCAAAAGAGTCCAATAAATCCAGAAAGTCCTTCACTAAGGGCTTCTCCTGACAACACACATGCAAATTAAAGTCACCAATGAGCAAAAAGTGAGTGTATCTTTGTGTGATATCAGCCAAAAAGTCAGAGAATTCATTTATGAAGTCCTTGGAACGAGGGGGGCGGTAGACGAGCACGCACAGAACCGTAGGAGAGTGTCCGAGTTCAAAGGCGCTCAGCTCAAAGCTGGCGCGGGACGCCGGGATGGACAACTGTTTACACGCAAAGTTTGCTTTAAAAACTGTTAATAATCCCCCCCCCGCGCCGACCAGATGGCCGCGGGGCATTGAAACACAAACAGTCCGGAGGAAGTAATTCCACCAAGGCGCTGGACTCACCATCAGAAATCCAAGATTCCGTGACGAACAGAAAATCCAACTCCTCATCTTTAAAAAAAGTCATTGAGGATAAACGTCTTGTTGGAAACAGACCTTGCGTTGATTAAACACATCCTGATATTGTCCAACACAGGCACAGCCGTGGATGGAGACGCGCGCGCCAGCGGGCGCAGGTTATGAAGAACAGCTCCTCCTGGTCTGCTGGTGCGGCGCACAGGTAAACAACTCCAGGTGTTTCCATGGACTGAGCGCGCGGGCAGCTGGCCAGCAGCCGGGCCCCGGGAGCACCACGGGTCAGAGAGGAGATGATCAGATCCAGAGCGAGTCCTTATAGAATAATCCACTCTTTGCCTCAGTTTCACCAAAATCCCTGCATGCTTCCCACGACGTCTGCGACGTTTCCTCCACGGAGAAAGGCCAGGGTCACGCAGAAGGAACGCAGGAATCTCAGATAGGACCGGTGGAGGAGAGTGCTGGCCGCTGTTCAAAAACTCCGCGGGAATTTCAGCAAAAGTACGGAGCTCCAAAAGTGCCCGACGATCATACTGAAAATATGACTCGGCACACTGCACAAACCATTGTAAAAATAACAAAAATAAAATACAAGCAGAGAGCGAGAGACGGGCAGCCCTACACACCGGCGCCATCTTGGTAGCATCCAAGCATCCATTAACAGAATGAATATTGTTGTTTCATGGAATCTTGTTTAAACTCACATCTGACTGCATGCATTTACAGTGTGAGATGTTGTTATCAGTCACAGGTTATGACTGTTGTTCTTGTTCTATGGTTATTAATCAGTTCATGACTTCTGTCATCAATCAGTTTATTTGATTAATAATCAGTTCACTTATTATTAATCTGTTCATATTGAAGAGCCGTGGATCTGCTGTGTTCACAGCCTTTTCAGCCTCTCCTCTTTCCCGTTGGAAACCTTTCCGGGGCGTTCATGCAGTCGGAACGCGTAACTACGCAGCGCGCGTCTGTGCATGGTGCGCGTAATTACGCAACGCGTATTTACGCACATGGAGAGCTGAGAGCCAAGATATTTTTTTGGGCAAGCGGGCGCTTCATATGGTGTTCGAATGGACCCAGTGAGGCGGAGATTACATCTTGCTTCGCCTTTAACCCACCAGCGACAGCTCTTAAAGGGCGAAGCCTATACAAAATAGAACGTTGGTTACGTACTGTAACCCCAGATTCTATGAGTATAGGCGTAGCCCTTTAAGCATCGGGCCTCACTGGCTCCTAAATGGCTGAAGAAAAAGCTATTTGGTAGCCGATTACCCGCTCTTAACGTAATTTATACGGACCGGGTGGGGCACACACAATAGGTGGGCGTTGACTAAATTTTTTCAGTGCGATGCTTTGCATGACGAGATAAACCCACCAGCGACAGCTCTTAAAGGGCTACGCCTATACTCATAGAATTTGGGGTTACAGTACGTAACCAACGTTTTCCTCTCTTGAGCCTCCTACTGTCTTGTTTAACTTCTGCCTTGTCCACAGAGATGTGTCAATATTGATGTAACAGGCTGTGATGTTAATTTTAACAGTGACAGATATCAGCTGCCATTTGGAGGCTCATGTGTGACTCTTTGTGCAGAATTTGTTTGCTTTCACGTCCTTTAAGTGTGTCACACACTCCATGATGTCTTCTCAGGCTGTGTGTACAAATAATGTATTTATATGAACACCATTATTTCAGCCAGGGAGTGTTTGAGGATGTGTGCCACTGGAGACAACAAAGTGAATCTCTCCTTCTAAGCAGCCCTCTGTTGCTCTCGACCCTCCACCCCGTCCTACACACACTCACATGCACGCACACACAACCCCCCTCCCAGTGTTGGGCCCCAGGGTTAATGGGTGTTCAACCTTTCCATTATCCCGATCAGCCAAGAATTACCTGCTGAATGATGTTTGCATTAATATAATATATATGGTAATTTCCCTCCTCTTAATTACGGCTGGGCCGAGCGCGGCAAGGGGAGTGGGCTGATCATGTGTAAAATTGATTTGCCAAGGAAAAATATGGTGATAGAGCGAGAGCGCGCAAAGATGAAGAGGAGAGGCTGCAGGGAATCACACACACACACACACACACACACACACACACTTGGACAAATAACTCGTGCACCGAGGTACATAAATGCACACTCTCACATGCTGGAAAGAGTACAGGGGAAAAGTGCTGGCCTGGGTGGAATAAAATAAAAATAAAAACTTTTTCTCGTGCTCACTAGTTTTCCTTCCCATTAAGAAAAACGAAGTGCATCAGCAATAAAATGGAGATGGTTTTTTTTTTCGGATGCAGTAAATTTGAATAAACATTTTCCTCACTTCTCTCTGAAGAATAGCAAACACCCAGGAGACAGAGGTGAAGAGGGGTCACGAATGGAGTATACATTAAGTGCTTATGGCTATAGAGTGATGGGTTGTGGGTGTGTGCACGTGTCACTGTGCTCTTTTCTAAAATGGGAGTGTTGAATGAGGGTTTAAAAAAAGCTGAATCAAGGGTTTAATTTATAAAATTAAAAAAATAAATAACCTGCAGGTGGATTAAGACAAAGCAAAAAAATCTATTCAAGCAAAGATCTTCATGTTTTGTTTTGTTTTTTTAACTTTTTTTTTAAACCAATTAGAATAAAAATGTTAAAAATTCAAAGTTGAGTTTTGCACATGTTTCTGACAAGATTTGCTCATCTTCGGACCTCTTTAAATTTTTGTTATTCGTTTGTTTTGTCTTTATTTACCTGATTTTATTTTTTTTAACTGCTTTTATTCACTAAGGGGCGGCTGTGGCTGAGTGGTTAGAGCAGTCGTCCTCCAATGCGAGAGTTGGGGGTTCGAATCCACCAGCAGTCGCATGTCGAAGTGTCCCTGGGCAAGACACTGAACCCCTCATAGCCTCTGATGTGTGTCCCATCAGTGTATGAATGTGATCTAAAGCACTGATTAGTCTCATTAGAATGATTTGTTCAATTATCTTTGTAGAGATCTAGTAGAGTGCTGTATGAATGGGTAAATGAGGACACAGATTGTAATGTAAAGCGCTTTTAGTGTCTTGAAATAAGATAGAAAGGTGCTATATAAGTACAGTCCATTTACTAAAACATTTTAACCAGATTTTTGAACATATTTGTACTAAAAGAATATCATGTACAATATTTTTGGTTTTAATTAGTTGCCGTAAAACAAGGGGTCCGGTATTTAAGGATCAAAACTTACATGATAGAAATGTATAGGAAACATTTGGAAACAAACAAACATGCCAGAAAACAATTTAGAAATTGTCAGTGTGGCAGCAATAGTTGTAACTGTTTTTGTGATTGCTTTTTTATTTTTATCAGGATGATTCATAGAAACTGCACAGATTTCCGTAAATGTTGCTTAAACATTTTACACTCTCTTCTCCCTTCTGCTCCTTTTCATTCTGGCCTTTTTTTTCTTTTCATCATCTTCATTACATCACTTTTGTCTGCACTTCTTCCCGCTTAATCCTTTTTCTCCTCCATCCCTGTTTAACGCCATCTCTCTCTTTACGCCTCCTTTTCTCTCTCATAACTGTTCTCTCACTCTTCCTCGCTCTCTCTCGGTTGACAGAAGGCGTTCAAAGACACCAGTCAGTATGTGGTTGGGGAGCTGTCTGCACTGGAGAGCGAGCAGAGGCACATCGACGCCCGAGCAGCTCGTGTGGAGAAGAGGCTGCGCTATCTCATGGACACAGGTACCCCAAGCCCAATTACACTGGAAAAACTGTTTTGGCAAATTGAGCGTACACACACACACACACACACACACACACACACACACACACACATACACATCCATTTAGGGAGTTTGTGTGTTTATGTGAGGGGGAATCTTTGAAGACCCCTCCCCCTCCC